AGTTGGTGGCCCTTAATGAGCAAAAGGCAGCTCAGCAAGAAAACAGACTTACACCACTGAGAGGAAAGAGAATGTCTTTCCTTGAAGAAGAGGGGGCACAGACAAGAGTTTTGCTTGGCCAAACTCTAGTCAGTCTTCTCAACCTTCTCCTAGGCCCATCTGTGTACTTCCCTGTACGTTCCAGTTTTAGCAAAGGACCCCCTCTGATATCTAATCACCTTTGAGATCTGATTAAATTCTTCATCCTCCACCATCCCCAAGGTGACATCTGGTCACCCCAGCCTGTCAAGTTGATTTAGTCAGGATCCTCCAACCCCTGCTATGTCCTCTTAGTCATTTTCCATCAATGGACCCCACCCTTCTCCATGACTGTCAATCCCCACTTGCCCATGCTATATTTGGAGTGGAGCTCAGTCTTCTCCAGACCCACTGCAAAAACCCCATTACTATGGTCCCTATAAGCTAGTGAGATGGTCCTGAACAAAGTCTTCCTCACCATGCTTTAACAAGTATCACTGAACAATGTTTTCTTTAACAGTCTTAATGCTAACTTCTTGTAATCATTTTTCTGTGGTTAGGTAGGGTGTTAACATTTGGGAAAACTGGGTGAAAAATGTTGGGATTCTTTGCTCTCTGTTTTTAATCTTTTAGTAAGTTGAAATCATTTCAAAGTGGAAAGGTTAGAGGTGCGGAGAGGAGTTGTTGCAGGTGCTGAAGCTGGAGGCCTGCAGAGGCCCTCCCCTCTCACTCCTCAACACCAGGCATCTCATGGTGGGCACCATCCCTGGGAGGCCTGGATCCTGGGCTCAGTGGGGGATGTCAGCCTCCATGTGGCTGGGCCACTCAGAGCCTGAGGGAGCTCCATATACAGCCTCCAACTGTAGCAACCTGCCACACTTGGTTGGTGAGTCGGGCGCTCCACTGGCCCTAGGTAGATTTGAGACTTCAGACCTGCCCACTGCAGCCAGCTTTCCACACAGCCTGGGACCAACCGGGTGATGAACAAGGATCCTTGCCATTGGACCTCATCCAGCTCCAGCCCCAGGTCACAAAGATGGATGACTGGAAGCTGGAACTCTGGCCCAGGCTGGGGAATGATGCCTCCCTCTCTGGACTCACGTTTCCTCTTATGTTTCCACCTCAGCCCGGCTCACCCATGAGACTGGTCTCTGCTAAAGGGCCTGGATGATGCCATCTCTTGACAGATGGGACCAAAACACATAGTCTTGGGGAGGCTGCAGGCAGGCTAGGAGCCCAGACCTGCCAGGATGAGACCTAAGGCTGTGTTTGCTCACAGACTTGACTCCACATCGCTTGGCCCCATGCCTCCTGATGCCATGTCTTTACAGCTCAGCTTGACCATCTCAGGGCCCAGGGGCAGAAGCAGCTTATGTAGGAAGGGGCACGAGAAGGGGGTGAGCTCCCTACCAGCCCAGGAGAAGGGGTCCTATGTTGGGGACTCAGGGATGAGATGCATCTGGTGACAAACAGATGACTGGCTAGGCCATGTCAGGCTTCTGGCCCAGGTTCCCTGGTGGCACATCTAAAGCTCTTCTAGAAAGTACTAGCTTCCTTGGGCCCTTTCCCCTTCTACCAGCATAAGGACCTTGCTTCAAGGGACTGGCCTCAACAAATGGGGGCTTGAGAAGCACTGGCACTATCAACCTCGGTTCAAGTGTTTACCTGCCAAGGTATCAGGGTTCCGTGATGGGCAAGAGAACACAGATCTTCCTGGAGCTCCAATTCTGATGAGTAGATGCCCAAGAAACAATCCAAACACATAGTATGCCAGATGGTGCCAACTGCCACAGAGGAAGATAGCAAGGACCAGCAGGGATGATTCTAATATCATCATCATTATTATTATGGAGACTGGGTCATGCTCTTGTTGTCCAGGCTAGAGATCAGTGGTGTGTTCACGGCTCACTGCAGCCTTGAACTCCTGGGCTCAAGTGATCCTCCCACCTTAGCCTCCACAGTAGCCAGGACTGCAGTCACCACCATGCCTGACTAGATTGCAACTCTGAGGTGACTCCTCAAAACCTTTTTTTTTTTTTTTTAATCAGAGTTTCACTCTGTTGCCCAGGCTGGAGTGCAGTGGCATGACTGTGGCTCTCTGTAGTCTTGACTTCCTGGGCTTAGGTAATCCTCCTGCCTCAGAATCCTGAGTAGCTAGAACTACAAGCATATGCCTCCACACCTGGCTAATTTTTTTTTTTTTTGTAGAGACAAGGTCTTATTATGTTGCCCAGACTAATGTTGAACTTCTGGGTTCAAACAATCCTGCCTCAACCTCCCAAAGGGCTGGATTATAGGTGTGAGCTACCACACACGGCCCTCCTTGAGACTTCAGCAAAGACTTGCAAGAAAGAGGAATTGTACAGTGTGGATATCTGCAGTTGTTTGGCAGAGGACAATGAGTGCAAAGGCCATGGGGCAGGAACTGGGCAGTGTGCATGACTGTGAGCAGTGGGGAGGACTAGGCAAGAAAGATGAAGGTGTGAGGTGCCTTCACAGTAACACCCATATAGGAGGACCATGGGCCTATGAGCAGTTACCCCCAGAGGTGTCACTTTTTTCTTGTCCTGTTCTCTCCTGGCCTGTGGCTCTGCCTCTGCACCTGGCTGGGAACTGAGGAGCAATTATGGAGTCTCTCCAAGCCTCAGTTCCCTCACCTGTTAAGTGCAGGTTACAACTGTATCAGTCTGTTACGGCCACTGTAACAAAGCACCACAGAGCAGCTTGGATAACAGACATTAGTCTCAGTTCTAGAGGCTGGACATCTGCGACCAGGATGGCAGCTGGGTCTTGCTCCCTCTGAAGGCTCCAGCAAGGATCTGATTGGGCTCCCTCCTAGCTCCTGGTGATCTCAGCCTCTGGCAACAGAACTTAGCTTCACACAGGCTTTTCCCGTGTGAGTGTCTGTCCCTGGGTCCACATCTTCCTCTCTATATAAGGATTCCTGCCATTGGATTAGGGCATATCCTAATGACCTCATTTTATCTTGGTGACCTCTGGGAAGACCCTGTCTCCAAATACAGCCACATTCCAAAAGGCTGGGGCCCAGGACCCTAACATGTCCTTTTTGGGGACCCCAGTATGTCCTTTTTGAGGAACAACTCAACGAATAACAATAGAATCACCATCTGGGGCTGCCCCTTCCTTAGGGGGCCCAGGATGCCAGGGAGCCCCAGGCAGGTTGGGGGAAGAGGGACCCATAACAAGGGCTCAGAAAGCTTTCCCTGGGGCCTGGTCTCCTGGCAAAGGCAGACACCAGGGAGGCTCTTCGTGAGGGCAGTGTGCCTGCTGGGGTGGGCACTGGTGCAAAATTCTAGTGCAGATGCCGTGTGGCTGCTGGGGCACACAAGGATGTTGGCAGTGGGGGTAATGTCCCCAGCCAAGAGCCTGTTGTCCTAACTCAATGGACACGTGTGAGACTTGGGATCTGTTTCCCTTCTGAATTCAAAGTAAGCCACAAGCCGGGCTCGGTGGCTCTGCCTGTAATCCCGCGCCTTTGGGAGGCTGAGATGAGTGGATTGCCTGAGCCCGCGGGTTCGAGACCCGCCTGGGCAGGCGAGACCTCATCTCTACAATAAATTTTTTAAAAAATGAGCCGGGTGTGGTAGCACATGCCTGTAGTTCCAGCTACTTGGAAGGCTGAGGCGGAAGGATCGCTGAAGCCCAGCAGGTGGAGGCTGCGGTGGCCGGGAGCGGCCACTGCACTCCAGTCTGGGCAACAGAGTGAGACTCCAACTCAAAAAAAAAACAAAAAACACAAACAAAGTAAGCCACAGAGGGCATTGGGTCTCAGTGAGGTGACTGAGACAGAAAGGCAGAAAGCATGGGGAGGCCACTGCTCTTCCCCAGACAGAACCACAACACGTTACATGCAGGCTTGGACACCCACCCCGCCTCTCATTGATCTGAGAAGGCCAAGCTGGGAGTTGGCTGCAGAGGGGGAAGAGAGCCTGGGACTCGGCACTGGATATGAAGGACCCCCTTATGCTCAGCCAGGCCTGGGGACGCAAACTTCTGAGTGTTGGCCCAAATTAGAGGCTCCTGAGGGGCTGAGACGGACACAGACTTTCCCTTTCGCCCCTCCATCCATCCTGGCCTTCACCATCCACCTGGAGTACAGGCCAGCCACACTGCTCCCTCCGGAGTGTTCCCATGGGGCTCCACAGCCACCTGATGGACCTGTGTGGGCAGCTGGCCCCATCACCAGCACCTATGGCGTCCTCTCTTGCATCTAGCCTCTGACCATGGACAGACAAACCAACCTTCAGGCTTCCGACATGGTGCTGAGGAGGCAGTGACCAAAGGAAGTGGTGGAAAGAGCCATGTGCAGGTGTCTGCCTGGTGGAAAGAGCCATGTGCAGGTGGAAAGAGCCATGTGCAGGTGTCTGCCTTCATAGGATGCACAATAGCTCCTGTTGGCACCCAGCTCCTGTTGGCACCCAACACATAGGGAATGGCCTCAAAATGTGCCATCACAGCCTCAGAGTTTTATTATCAACTGCTCAAGTTCAAGTGCAAATTCCTACAAAGTCTGACTCACCAAGGAGAGGGAAGGCAGGGCTGGCTGAGATGGGCCTGCTGCAGCCCCAGCGGGACAAACAGGGTCCCAAGAACGCTTGGCACCTGCAGAACCATCTGGCGCATACAGGACTGTCCCAAATACGTGGGACCCCCTCACCCCCCTCCAAACACACATTCGGGCCACTGAATCTGCAAAAGAGCTTAAGCTTCTGCTGTCAGAGTGGGCTGTCCTCACGTCTTTCTTGTCCCTGATTCCAAACATAGCCATCTCCTCTGCTGGAGCTGGTCTGCTTGTTGGGCATTGAAGCAGGCTTGAGCCCTGTGCCCCCAGGAGAGGAGGGGCCTACTCCTGTCATTTGACCACAGCAAAGATCCGCTGGCCAGAGCACACACGTGTGTGTACCTGTGAGTGTGTGCGGTTTCCAGCATGTGTGCATGTGTCTGTGTAACTATGTGTGCATGCATACATGTGCACCTATGCATGCATGTGTGTGCCTGTGTACATGTAGATATATATGTGTGTCTCTTATGTGTGCATGGCTATACAAGTGTGAGCACACATGTGCCTGTGCACGTGTAGGCATGTAACACACGTGCTTTGTGTATGCATGTGTAGGTATGTATCTTGCATGTGTGTGGCCTGTGCTCATGTAGACATATATGCATATGTGCCTTGCATATGTGTGCCTGTGTACATGTAGGCATGCATGTGTGTGCTGCATTGCCCACCTGTGCATGTATAGGCATGTATACATGTTTGTGCCTTGTGTATGGCTGTGCACGTGTAGGTGTGTATGAATGTGTCTCACGTGTGCATGGCTATGCACATGTAGGCATGTGTATGCCTTGTGTGTGCACACCTGTGTATCCATGGACATATGAAATATCCGTGCACATGAAAGCATGTTAGCCTTGTGTGTGTGCCTCTATGCACACGTGGACATGTATGTGTTTATGCCTATGCACATGTAGGCATGTGTGTATGTGTGTGCCTTGCATGTGCGTGCCTATGCACATGTAGGCATGTATGTATGTGCCGTGTGTGTCTGCCTGTGCATGTATGCAGAGGTAGGCCCAGCACATTCATATATTTATGGCATACCTGGGGTTGCCCCAAACCCTGGTGTCAGACTCTGCTGCTCCCCACTGGCATAAGGGTGGACCTCGAGCTGGGCACAGGGACACACACAGGTAACACACAAATCAGAGGACCTGATCCTCGGGGATATGGGCCGAGTCATGAACAGTGCAGTACGGCCAGAAAAGCTTCCTATCCACGATGACCCTTGAGGCAGGGCCTACCAGGAGCCCACCAGCCACACCCAGAGGTTAGCTCTGCAGTGTGAATTCATGGGTGCTGATCTCCCAGCGGGAAGGGTCCTTGTCCAGCATGCTGCGCTCGGTGAAGGTCACATGGCCGTCTGTGTCTACCAGGATGACGGTGTTAGTTCTGAAAGACAACAGAGGGCTCACATTTACCCCATGTCCCTTGGTCTCTGCCCTGCTTTTCAGAGCCACGGCCATGGCCTGACTTGATACAGTCAGGGGCAGGCCTCCCACATCTGGGGCCTGAAAAAGCAGCAGCCTTAAGTTTAGGGATGTAGAAGGGCTATGATGGGCCTCTGGGGTCCTGCTCAGCCCCACAGGCCCACACTTAGTGAGTCCTGTCACCTCCACTCTGAACCACCCCAGCCTATCCCACTTTCCCCCGTAGTAGGAGTCCCAGCACAGGGCAGCCCCTGAGTCGACCACATACTTCCCAACTCAGAGGCCCAGACTCCTGGACACTTGGCCATGCTTGGTTCTTCCAAGAAATCAAGCACTTGATCGCTTGGGGCCCAGGCTTTCTCTACCTGGAAAGCTCTCCTGTCCCCCTTCCCACCACCCAGGCTAAGTCAGCCTGCCTGCCCCAATGCCCCACATACCCTCCTCTCCTGCCCTGCCCTGCCCTCCTCATGGCAGGCCCTCACTTCGTTAGCACTCATCTCCCCAGACAGAAGGCAGCAGTGGTCCCCAAACACAGACTGACAGCTGGGGTGGGCACACACTGGGTTCCCCATGGGGCTGGACCCAGTAGCCATACAGCCAGACAGGAAGCAGACCTAGCACTAGCACTTGCCTCCCCACTGCACACAGGTCTAGGTGGGCACATGTGCTAGTCATGGAAATAAGCCTGTGACAGGAGGGGATGAAGAAAATGACAGCCGGCACCTGCCACGGCAGAGCCATCTATGCAGAAGGCCAGCCAGGAGCTGCTACCCAGGGTGAAGCCAATGGCCTGAAGCCATGGTGCAGGGGCATTTGGCCATAGGGATCTGCCAATGTGCATGCATCCCTGAGGCTACCTCGAGGTTATGTCTTGGTTTCTCGAGGCTGGACTACAGGGCTCCCACAACTCTGTTAACCGTGGAGCCTGCATGTGCTACAGCTATGTCTGGATAGGGTAGAGCTCCAGGACTCAGCTGGGAAGGAGCCTATTTGGGCAGGCTATGGCGTGCAGGACTCTTGGTGTTTTAGCTGGCCCTCTAGCCTGGGAGGCAGATGTAAGACAGGCAGGAGTCAGCAGCCCTGCCATACCTGGTGCCATAATCAGGGCAGCGCACACACACAGCCGCATACTTGCTCAGTATGGGCTGCACATACTCCTGGCCCTGGTCCTCGATGGCTGGGTCCGGCAGTTGTCTGCAAGGGCAAAGGGAGGGGCACCATCAGCCCTGTGTGGCCCTCCCACAGCCCCTCCTAACCAGTGGCCTCACAGCACTTCCTAACTGGCTTTGGAGAGCAGTTGGGGTATTTCTTCCACTTTTCTGCTCAAGGTACAAACCTTTGTCCACCTTCCACATGCTTCACTGTTGAGTGGGCCCACATGGTACCACCGCTCCCCGCCTGTCCCGAGGTGCCCCTGGGCATCTGCCCAAGCAACATGAGATCACTTGAGCCTGGACTTGCCAGCTGAGACTGCCAGTGAGAGCAGCTGGACCCACCATGGGCCTTGCCAGGATGGCACAGTGACTGAGGGCTGGGTGGACTCACAGTTGGGAGGGGGCCACAGGTAGACCCAGGGAGCTCCCTCAAGAGGGCAGCGATATGAAGGATGAGGCTGCAGCTCAGAGGTCCAGAGGACAAGGAGGGTGGGCAGGGGGCAGGCTGTAGGGACTCCTCTGAGGGAAGCAAGCAGGTGAGTGGGAGTGGATGGTGGCCCTGGCCTAGGTGAGGAGGGAGGGATGTGTGGGGTCATCTTGGGAGGAAGGCCAGCTTGGCTAGTACTGGCACCCCAGGCTGAGGCAGTGAGTCTCAGGTGCCTCGGGATACGCAGGCACCTGAGGATACCGAGGCTGTATGAGGAGTCTCAAGGCCTAGAGATTAGGAAGAGGGTGGAAGCTTCTCTTTCTAGGTAGCTCATGGGGCCCAACACTCAGTCCCACAGTCACTGGGGACAGAAGCATATAGGAAGCTCTATCAATCCCGAGTGTACAGACGACCACTTGCTTCTGTGGTTTGTCTCCCACAACCCAAGGTTTGCTGAGTGTCTGAGTCTTCTGGAATCGCCCACCAGACCTTGGCATGCAGAGGGGAACATGTGAACCTACATCAAAACTTTGGAGCACAAGTCTCCAGGGCATAGCCCAGGTTGCCCATCTTCTATTAGCAAAGGCCCCGCCACACTCCCCTGCGGCCTGGACACCTCCACGGGCCTCCCAGGGCAGCAGGGCCTGCCTTCCCCTCTGCCCCAGTGGGGAGAACACAAGGGTTCACCCATGGACCCGCCCACTCACGCCTCCTCGTTGTTGAGCACATCCAGGAGCTGGGCAACCAGCGCATCCCTGGGCATCTCCTGGCTCCTCTCCACAGCCTCCAGGAAGAGCTGCTTCCCAAAGCATAGCTTCCTCCAGGGTGTCTCCAGCAGCGCGTTACTCAGCCCGTAGGTCCCTGTGGGAAAGGTTAGCCTGCCATGCAGAGGCCCTGCAGTGCCATCTCAGGGTAAACTCCCAATCATCCACCCTCTCAGGGTGCCAGAGGTATGGCCAGGGGCAGCAAGACTGGACCAGATGGATGCCAAGCCACTCCTGTGATTCAGCACCTTCTCCATACCCATTCATGACATGAATGCATGGTGAGGGATGAAGAACTAAACGCTGGGTAGGGGTGGGGGGCCCACAGGAGACCACAGGCACAGGTGCCCAGCAGCCACATGGACAGACTCACAAGGAATAAATAATCTAAAGCCTACAGGCAAAAGGGACAGTCAAGAGGGAGCCGCCCACCCCACACCATCTCTCCCTAAGTGAGGTAGGGGCCACCCACCATGATCACATCAGCGGGTACAGGTAGGACCCTGGTGGAGCACAACACACCTCTGTGTGCCAGTCAGGACCCCAGGGTCTCAGCATAGGAACTCCAACCTGTGGCTTTTCAGAACAATCTCCAAGTGGTAACAGAAGGCATGATCAAAAGGAGGAGGGTTTTTCACATCACAAGAGAGTTTTTCACATCACACATTTGAGGCAAAGAAGTTCCTCAGAGCCTCTTCCCTAGAGGCCAGGGCAGCAGTGGCCAGACCATTCAGAATTGTATACCCCAAAGTAAGCACCAGGGCCACAAGATGCCACCCTCTGCCCTGCCAGACTTTTAGGAGGTGATCAAGATCCAATCTGAGATAGCTCTGGGTACTTCCCAAGGAGACAGCCCTGACTCTCCTCAGGACCCATAGCCAAGCCTCTAGCCCCAAGGTCATGGTGCTTTTTCCATCAGAAAAAGACCATTCAACTGAAAAACCATGGGCAAAGAATGTTGCTGGACTCCTACCTCACACCATATACAAAAGTGTATTCAAATTGGACCAGTGACCTAAAGGAAAGAACTATAAAACTCTTAGAAGAAGCTGGGCATGGTGGCTCATGCCTATAATCCCAGTACTTTGAGAGGCTGAGGTGAGAGGACTGCCTGAGCCCATAGGCTCAAGACCAGCCTGGGCAACTTGGCAAGACCTCATCTCTTCAATAATCAAAAAATTAGCTGGGTGTGATGGCACGTGCCTGTAATTCCAACTACTTGGAAGGCTGAGGTGGAAGGATTACCTGAGTCCAGCAGGTCAAGGCTGTGGTGGCCATGAGTGTACCACTGCACTCCAGCCTGGGCAACAGAGTGAGACTCCAACTCAAAAAAACAAAAACAAAAAACTCTTAGAAGAAAACAAAGGGGCAAGCTTTGTGACCTTAGATTAGGTAGTGATTTCTTAGAGTAGAAACAAAAAGTTTGAGCAACAGAAGAAAAATGGGACTTCATCAAAATTTAAAGCATTGTTCTTCAACAAGAAAGTGAAAAGAAAACCTGAAAATGATAGAGACTTGTAGTTAGAATGCATAAAGAATTACTACAACTCAAAAAGACAACCCAACTTGAGTAAATGTTTCTCCAAAGAAGACCTATCTACAAATGGTCAACAAGCACACTCAACACCATACGCCACCAGGCACACAAAGATCAAACCACAGGGGAGATTTCACATTACACTCACCAGGAGGCTATAACCCTAAACATGGACAACAATGAGCTCAGGGGAGGACCTGAAGAAGTGCAGCCCATACACTGTTGGGAACCGGCCACCATGCAGCTGCTGTGGGAGCAGTGTGGAAGTTCCTCAAGTGGTTTAACAGAGTTGCCATGTGACTTAGCAATGTCTCACTTAGGGACTCACACAGGAGCCATGTCCACACAAACACTTGTATCAATGGTCCACAGCAGCTTTATCCACGACAGTGGCAAGATAGAAATAAGTCAAGTACTCATGGATGGACGAACACAGAAACAACATATTGTCTATCCTCATGATACTATTCAGCCATATAAAGAAACAGAGTTTAGGCTCCAACAGACAACCTTGAAAACGTTGTGGCTTGAGAGACCAGACACCCCTTTATCAACTAAGACAGGGCCAAGATGAAGGAAACGGAGTCATCTGTGGGTTGAGGGCGCAGAGTGGAGGGCCTGGCAAATTTCTAAATTCCCACAGCTATAAAAAAACCATCTCTCATAGGCCCCTGACAAGAGGAGCAAGCAGACAAATTATCAGACCCCTTCCCAGCTCTGACTGACACCCCAGACCACCACAGCTCCAACCAGACAGGGGACCTGCCTCACTGGCATTCTTTTCTCAAGTGACTACAGACCTCACACCAGTTTCAGCAGCTCCAGAGGCTGGCAAAGGCTGTCTTTGTGTCCTTTGGTTCACCTTTTGACAGAAAGAGCCAAATTCCACCTGATTCTAACACTAAAAGTTCACCCCCCAAGTGCACATGGGATGTACGCTACATACATGTATACTGTTAGGTTAAAAATCCCAGTAGGGCCTCTAAAATGTTAAGTCAGACCCACTAGGATGGGGTGTATGCAATCCAGTACTGTGAGAAAGTTGCAAAGAATTGCACAGAAGTGAAATTGGAAAATATAATTTATTTAGAAAGTAAATGAGAGAGAGAGAGAGATGAGACGATTCGCCTCCCCAAGGTAGGGGAGGGGACCAAAGCCAGGAAACACATGGACACACCAGGGTTTGGTAAAGCAATGGTTAGAAAGAATATTAGAGAGAGAGAGAAGATTCACCTCTCCAAGGTAGGGGAGGGGAGGGGGGCCAAAGCTTAGGAAAACGTGGCCTGGCCATAGCTCAAAGAACACATGGCTATAGCTCAAAGAACACATCTGTCCTCTGTGATGACGTGGAGCCGACCACCACCCAACCACCTTAATGACCTGCCCTATCAAAGGAAAGTATTGAAAGGCACTCAACTTCAAACAGTAGTCACCATTGCTTTGTTAAACTCTGTTGTAACCACATGGTTCTCTGAGCTACAGCCGCCAAGTTTCCTGGCTTTGGTCCTCTCCCCTACCTTGGGGAGGTGAATTTCCTCTCTCTCTCTCTCTCCCCTCTCTATCTCTCTCTCCATTCACTATTGCTCTGCTAAGCCATGGTCTGGTCATGTGCTCTTTATGCTATGGCCACCATGTTTCCAGGATTTGGCCCCCTCCCCTACCTTGGGGAGGTGGATCTTCTCTTTCTCTAATTTACTTTCTAAATAAACGATACTTTCTAATCTAACTGCTATGCAATTCTTTGCATCTTTCTTGCAGCACAAAATCACAAACCACACTCCCCCCCCATCAAGCCTGACCTAACATTTGGAGGCCCTGCTAGGATATATTTTAACCTAACATAAAACATTGGGCCATGTGGTAAAAGCTGTAGAAGAGACCAGCGTCTGGAAAGGCTGCAGCTATGGTTAGAACTTAATACATCTGTTGTTTCTAGGTTTGCTTTCACTCCAACAGAGGGCAATTGATTATCTTTATGTCCTGATCCCTGGGGAGGGGGGAAGCTGCCTGTAAAGTTGATACTTTCCCTTAAACAATGGGTTTAAGTCTGAATAGATACAAAAATGGGAGTTGAAGAACAAAACAAACAAACTAGCCCCCACCTCCAGGAACCCCACCTCCCACATACCTTCCTCCTAAACTACCTCTATAATGGCTCACTGCCCAGGGGCTAGTAGCTGATGGTCATGGGACTTGCTTTATAGGTAGCATCTATTGTAAAACCTAGGAATGGTATTTGAGATATTTTTTAGACTTTGTACTTTGATGAACCCAAGGCTCCATCCAGGCCCAGAACACATACCAGGAAGCTGGCTTCATTGGTCCTGTGATGCCCCCTCCCAGAAATTGGCTCTGTGACATGGAGATTCGACATCCCCATGACATTGCAGTAACAAGGCATATGACATTGTCCATCAGTCAGTAGTCCCTAGCCCCCTGCCTGCCAGATTCCCTTTAAAAGCCCTGGACTCTGAATTCTTTGGGGAAGCAGGTTTAAGGAATATCTCCCATTCTCCTCACTTAGCTGCTTTACAATTTTGCTTTTTTTTTTTTTGCCCAACTGTGAATGAACTGAAATTTGTCAATGATACACTTTACACCGGTGAGCTGTGCCACATGTGAGTTGTATCTCAATAAACCTACTATTTAAAAAAACAAAAGCCATACGGATCTGGTGGGGCTGGCTCAGGGGTGAAAACAGGATGTCAAGTGAGAGAATTTCTCCAGGGCAACAACTTAGCAGAAGAGAATCTTCTCCAGCCATGGGACTTCAGCTCTGAGAACCGAGGTGTCGCAGGGCAGGTTACAGTGTTCAGAAGGGGATGGGGACTCTGCCTCCTCTAGTGCCATTTTGTTTCCGTTTCTCTTTTTGGGCAGTCAGGGGCTCAGGGTGGCTCTGGTGACATGTGGGCTGTAAGACCCACTCCATAGGCACAAACCTGCCTCACTGTACACCTGACCCCAAACTGATGCCAAACTTACGGGAGGCACCGAAGCAGTTAGCATAATCTTCTCCAAGCTCAGGACCACTTGGGCCACGTCCCTGACTCACCCTAGTGTCTGCATCTGTGCCCCCATTTCCCGGCTCTTAGGAGGTCAGCAAGGGTCTGTTCTGGGCCTCCCACAGCTCTATCCAAGGCGAGGAAGGCAGGTCAGGATTGCAGAGGGCAGCCCAGAGTGCCTGGCAGCCAGCAGGACAAGCCCACGTGGAGAAGCAGGTGCCAGCTGGCATGTGCAGGGCAGCAGGTGGGATGCGCGGGAAACCACCCTCCAGGCAGATGCCACTGAGGGTCCCAAAGAGCCCAGAGCATCCTGGCCTGGACACCTGCCCAGTAAAGGGCTGTACTCTGAGCCCCAGGACCACCTGCAGCCAAAGTGTCACTGGGCAGAAGTGGGAGGCTAGAAGGCAGTCCCAGTGTGGGCCAGGCAGGGCCACAGGCCTCAGGATGGGCCCTGCAGCTGTGCCAGATTGGAGAGATGCAGGTAGAGAGGGGTCTCTCAGCTGTTTCAGGGGCTGCCTGCCACCTTCCTGGGGCCTTGCCTGGGCCCCTCAGGCCCACTGTGGATGCCCAGCAGGTAGGTGTGCATCTGTGTCCTGAAATTCCACTTGGTGACTAGTGTCAAATGCAGAGAAAGCCTGTGTGACACAGGGACAGTATTGCAGACAGGAAGATGTGCACCTGTGTCCTACAGCCTCACTTGGTGACTGGTGTCAAATGCAGAGAAAGCCCATGTGATACAGATGAGTGCCTCCACTCAGAGGTAGAAATCAGAGCCCCAAGGGCACAGCACTATCTTCAAAGACCAGAACACCCTGTGTAGGCCAATAGCGGGGATGCAGGAGCCAAAGCAGACATCTGAGGCATACTGTCCTATGATGCCCAGCAAGGGCAGCCATGGGCAGCAAGTGGGAAGTGAGAGAAACTCTGGAGTCTAGGCTCTGGTTTCTGCAGTTTCGTGCACCTAGGTGCCATGCCGGATGCCATTTAAGTCATTTCTCTAAAGTGCCACTATGTCCTAGCACCATACCTGGGACAAGATACAGAACTTTCTCCCCAAAAAAGTGGCTCACAGAGTGGGTGATGTGACACATGGCCCAGATAGGGGGCTGATAGAGGAGGCTCCTGGACATTGTAACACTTGAGGAGGGAGGGGATGGAAAGGATGCCAGCAGAAGGCAAAGCCCAGATAGAGCAGCTGTGAGGGCGGAGGAGGCCTCAGGGCATAGTGTGGACTGGGGTGAGGGCTCCAGAACCCTAGCACATGGACCCAGGAGCAGGACCCGGGGCCTGTGTACAGGAGGCATGTGTTTGTGTGGGCTGGAGGGCAGTGCGCATGTGTGCATCAGGGAGAGGGCCCAGGCAGGAAGCCTGGCTGGTTCTAAGGGACAGGCAGGGCACAGGGTGTACTGGGGTGGGACCAGGAGGTGGAACAGAACAGGGCTGTAAGAGGCTGGGTGGTCCCTGGGCTGCAGAGCTACAGTGGGAAGCCCAGTACCGGGGTGCGTCTCACCTAGCAAGAATGACCCTTGGGAAGGCACAGGGCTCCCTGCAGCAGCCAGGTGCAAGTTGTACAGATCATAAGGTGTACACATAGCCAAAAAATACCATCCCAGAATAGCAACATAATAGGGGCTGGTCTCTGAAAAGCACAGGTGCCCCTGCACAGGAGCAGCCCCTATCCCATCAAAGCAGACTCACCCGGTGTCAGGACGATGGGCTCAGGCTCCCCCCGATTTCCATAGTAGCAAATGACATCTCCCTTTGCTGTGCTGTGGACCAACGCAGAGACAGTCAGATGGGGCAGTGAGCATACTTCCTCACACTGCTCAGTGCTCTCATAGCCCTGGCCCTAGAGCTGGCTGGTGGCCAGCTCAGTGGCCCACTGGGTTCAGGCCAGGGGTTATTCAGGATGGCCCCTCAGAGTTCTGGAAGGCTAGGTCATGGAGACCCCAGCTCTTGTCTTGCATTCTTGGCTCACCTCAGGGCCTGCCAGCCCAGCAGGCACAGCACCTAAAAGACCCTCCTGCCTGGCCAAAGGCCCCGTGACATGGGCATGTAGAGGTTGAGCCCCACCCCCACAGTCACCAGACTCTTCCATTAACCCCTCCGTGATTCATCTACAAGAGGTTCTGGACAGGTAGCCCCAGAGTACGGAGGCTTCAGGACCAGGAACCAAAGAGCATACTTTCCTACTCACACATGCTAAGTGTATGCTTAAAATTGTGAGATCGCTAGCAGCTGAAAACATTCTGGTCAGTCCTCAACACCATGGCTAGCCTTGCAAACTTAGGAAGGGTTCTTGGTGGACTGTGAGATGCCCTCCTGGGCAGATGTGGGGCCTGGAACTCTGTGCCTTCAGGGTAAACAGATGCAGAGAAAGGGCTGAGTGCAATGCCAGGAGCCATGCCTTCCTCCCAAGGTGCTGCCCACCAGGCAGGACCTGCCCCTCCCCTTCAGGCAGCTTCCAGGGCCCCAGTCTATGCACATATTTTGCTCATGTTCATCCTCACCATGGCCTCAGCAGCTTCCTCAAAGACATTTGGCTAATGATTACAGAAATGTCATTTACAGGCCAAAGCTTTTCGTGTAAGGACCTATAGAACTGGGCACCCATGCTAGGGTAACTGCCAGCACCACCTCAGGCCAGACATGGGGTGGGCTGTACCCAGGGACAGCTGTGGCTGGGAGAAGCCTTCCCCTTCCAAGGGCTTCCTCACTAGCCTCCAACACTACTGCCCTCCAGCCTGAGCACCAGCTTCTGCCTGGCCCTCGATATGCTCCTCTGATCACTGCCCCATCTTGGACTGGGTCCCAGGAAGCAGACCCTGACCCTGTGGTCTCTGGGAGTCAGGAGATCTGCAAAGGCTCCAAGGAGCCCAAGCCCCACCCCTCAACTACAGGAGCCACCTACCCACATGTGCCCACGCACCCACTCAGAGCATGGTGCCCTCAGCACCCAGCCTCCACATGGATCATTCTGCCTCCACACAGTGTCATAGCCACAGGTCTGGTCTCCTGGGGCTGGATCAGACTACACAGAACTAATGACAGCACAAAGTGGTCTCTGAGTCTGGGGGAGTGAAGAGAGCAAGGACTATGCCTCCAAGAGCCATGAAGGTATGGGGGGATGGGGGGGGCCTGTGGACAGCAAGTGCCTTGCAACAGCCCTAGGGAACACAGCGGCTTGCTCAGCCTCCATATGGGGCACAGCAATCCATGTGGTCCAGGGGTGGGGCTGGGTGTACTGCACACTTAAGCAACAGCTGACCTGGGGCTTGAGGGCCAGGAGAGTGTCCCAGGGACCTGTCCTCCTAGAAGGAGGCAGCCTCAGGATGGGCATCTGAACACGGTCTGACCATAGCATGCTGACTATCTGACCACCTGCTTTTCCTGGTGGAAGTGCCTGGGCTAACAGCTTTCACAGACTTCTAGGCAGTGGAGGGAAGGAAGGGAGTAGGAGGGGCCAGGGAGGGAAAGAAGGAGGGGTGCTCACTTCATTGAAGGGCAAATGCCCAAACCCTCTGTAAATTCCATGGCCATGACAGCCCAGTCCACCCTGGCCAGGGCTGCCAAAGCTGCTCTGCATAGCCTGCCCACGGGAGGGGTGGACACCCAGTTGGCCACTCCACAGGCTTGGCTTTCTTTTTTTTTGAGTTGGAGTCTCACTCTGTCGCCCAGATTGGACTACAGTGGCCGCTCCCGGCCACTGCAGCCTCGACCTGCTGGGCTCTGGTGATCCTTCCACCTCAGCCTTCCAAGTAGCTGGAACTACAGGCGTGCGCTACCATGCCCGGCTAATTTTTTTGATTTATTGTAGAGATGAGGTCTCGCTAAGTTGTCCAGGCGGTCTCGAACCCGCAGGCTCAGGCAATTCATTCACCTCAGCCTCCCAAAGCACGGGATTATAGGCTGAGCCACCAAGCCTGGCTAGGCTTGGCTTTCTTAAGGCAGGAAGCTGGTAAGCCTCACGTTGTCCCAGGAAGCCTCTACTCTACTGCTGAGTCCCTGAGTTGGTGGGCCTGGAGCAGGCTGGGTCCTCAGGATGCCTGCTGAGCACTGGAGTTACATCCCTGGAGAGGACCCATGGATGACACCACAGCACACCTCAAGCAGAATCCCACTTCCTGATGCAACTGAGGCCAGCCCCAGGGCAGTGCTGGGCAGGGCCATCATCCCTTCCCAGCAGACCCACCTCAGGTCAGCTGCGATGAGGTTGAAGCCATTGTAGAGGTGGCCCTCCACAGAGACCTTCTTCAGGTAGGACAGGCTGTCCACATCAGCAGTCAGAAAGTGGGTGACGAGTTCACCTGTGGGCAGGACCAGATGCCCAGGGTCGTGGCTGCAGGAGTGAGCCTGTCTTCTTAAGAAGACTAAAGAGGCCCACTGGGGAGGTCACAACAAGACGAGGGGTTCCCATAGTAGCCCCAGCACCTGGCTGACTGATGCTAGAGTCAGACACACCTCATTAACCTGCCCCTGCCACAGGAGGTAGGTAAACCTCCCTCTCAGAAGAACTCTGTTGTTTTTTTGTTATTTATTTGAGTCAGAGTCTCACTGTCACCCAGGCTGGAGTGGAGTGGCATGCTCAAGGCCATTGCAGCCTCAACCTGCTGGGCTCAGGCAATCCTTCCACCTCAGCCTTCCAAGTAGCAGAAACCACAGATGTGCGCCACCACATCTGGTTACTTTTTTGATTTATTGTAGAGACAAGGTCTCACCAAGTTGCCCAGGCTGGTATCAAACCTCTGGGCTCAGGCAATCTTCTTGTCTCCACTTCCCAAAGTGTTGGGATTACGGGCATGAGCCACCATGCTTGCCACTGTTTTGGTTTTTAAAAAATGTTTCCTCCTAATGTCTCCATATGGAAATGCAGCATGAAGCAAAACACTTGCAGTAAGGACAGTGTGTGTCCACAGAGCTGTCCACTCGGTAAGGCATCTGCAAACATTCACAGACAGGAGGCAATGGCACACCGGTTGGGGTGATGCTGTGGGTGGGGAACAAGTGTGGAACGTGCGCCTGAGAGGAGCACACAGCATTTGTGCAGGCCAGGGGGCTCCTAGGGTAGTGTCAGAGGGCAGGGAAGTAGGCCCACCCCTTATTCTAGCATCACTTCTGCCTTTGCCATGTGCCCCTGCAAGCATACCTCAGGAACAGGAGTGGCAGTGGCATACCCAAGGAAGGCACCCCCCAAGGCACCCCCACAGCCCCGCCCCCATCTTGGCCCCACCCCTATCTTGGCCCCTTCTGCTTTGGCCCCACCCCATCTTACCTAGGTCTTGCTCCATCTCACATCAGCCCCACCTCACCTTGGCCCCACCTCCTCTCACCTTGTCTCTCCTTGGCCCACCTCACCACTCTTAGGCTTGCCCCGCCCACTGTACCTCGCCCACGAGCTTCTCGGTCCAGGCGCGGTTGTAGATAGTTGGTGAGTGCCGCCAGCTTTCCCCGCGTGCTGATGCCCAGCCATGTGCCTCCTTCCTTGCCTTCCTCCATGTCGAGCCCTGCAGCGAATGACAGCATCACCACCAGCAACGCCAACCATTCGGGTCCCTTGCCAGGTGTCAGACCAGAGACACAGGCCCCTCCCAGCTCTTCCCTCTTTGCCCCGCCCAGCTCCTCCCCCACACCTTACCCAACCCCTCCTTCATGCTCCTGCTGACATGCAAGGCCACCCAGTAGCCCCCAACTGTGGGACAGGGCTCAAACTCAGAAAGGCAGACATCTCCTGGGGCTCACGGGGCACGCAAAGGAGATCCCACCCTGTAGGATGACTATGGGACTGGACACGACCATCCTGATGCCAAGAGGGCCCTGAAGCCAACAATCCAAGTATGGGGTCTGCAGAACCATTGTCACACCTATGCCAGTGTCAAGGCAGGGGGACAGGGCTAAGTGTCCTGGATTAAGTACAGGGATGCTGGCTCTACCCCTCCCCCACGGCAAGTCGCATGGGGCCAGCACACACCCAGACCCTCCACCAGCTATCTTATCCATGGGGCTCAGGACAGGTTAGTGCTCTACACCCTGGCCAAAAGATAAAAGAGGCCCTTACAGTCACAGGACGGTGCCTCCCAGAGTAGAGGGTCATTTTACCCAAAGATTGGGGCATAATAGGCTGTCATTAAAATGTTACTTTCATAAAAGTAACCAATCACAACAGAAAAAGAAAAGACATAGAGCTCAAAAAGAAAGAAGTAAAACTGTCTTTATTGGTAGCTGGCAGGATTATATATGAAGAAGATCCAAAAGGAGCCCCCAAAACAATTTATTAAAACAAATAAGTAAATGCTGCAAGAATTGGAAATTGAAAATGTAAATATACCATTTACAATAGAATTAAAAAGTACTGAGCGTGATTTTTAAAAAACACTTAGGAAAACATTTAGTGAAAAACAGGTATCTAAACACTGAGCACTCCAGGGCACCACTGAGTCTGAAGTGGAACCGGCTTGATCCAGGGAGATATACACATGTGCCACCTGAAAGGCACAGTGTCGTTGATGTGACACTCTTCCCATATGACCCCTGGATGCAGCACCATCCCACAATCCCACTCCCAGTAGGTTTTCTACAGAGATGAACAGACTGACTCTACAGTGTCAGTGAACATGCAGAACAACTGGGATGGCCAAACACTCCAGCAGAGAGGAAGGGCTGGAAAATTCACACTGTCTAGTTTCAAGATTTCCTAAAGAGTGATGATACATATGACTATGTGGTATTGGTGTCAAGACAGACACACGGATCCGCGGGGCACAAGAGAGCCGGAAGGAACACGTGGGTGAATGTTCAACTGATTTACAACCAAGTTGCCACAATAATGCAAACGGCAAAAGTATATCCACTTAATAAATGACACGGGGAACCACTAGAGAGATGAGAGGTGAATCTCAATCCTACCTCATACCGTGTTCAAAATTAACCTGAGATAAACCATAGACAAAAACATAAAACCTCAACTCAGGTTCTAGAAGCAGAGGAAAGCATTGTTAGGACTTTAGAGGAAGCTGAGGCTCTTTGGGTCACAGGAAGAATAACTCACAAAAGAGTAAATAAACTGTACTTCATTAATTTTTTTTTGAATCAGAGTCTCATTCTGTCACTCAGGTTGGAGTGCAGTGGCACACTTAAGGTCACCACAACCTCAACCTGCTGGGTTCAGGCAATCTTTCCGCCTCAGCTTTCTAAGTAGCTGGAACTACAGGCACATGCCACCACATCCGCCTAATTTTTTTATTTATTGTAGAGATGAAGTCTCGCCAGGCTGGTCTCAAACCAGTGGACTCAGGTAATCCTCTAACCTCAGCCTGCCTGTACTTCATTAAAAGAAAATATTTTGCTCACCAACAGACATCATTAAGGAATTGAGTAGGAAGTACATTTACCCAACCAAGGACTCACATCTATAATGTATAAGGAAGTAATACAGGTCAATAATTAAAACATGAATGAAACTGCCATATCAGGTCCGGCAACAGGATCCAGATTCACCCTCCCACATAAGTCAATCAAGAGTAAAATCCATGAAATGGAATTTTCAACTAAAGCCGCGAGAGTCGGGAACCACAGTGAGTCCCAGCACTGAAGGGTCTCTAGGACCCCCACAGGAGGGGACCAGGCAGATCTCAGCAGACTCCCTGAGCTGAGAGGAGTTTGGGGAAACAGGCAGCCAGAAGTCATGGCTGCCATAGTTTGGGTGTGTATTCCCCAAATCTCATTTGGTAATGTGACCCCTAGTGTTGGAAATGGGGCCTGGCAGGTTATTGGTTATGGGGACAGATCCCTCATGAATGGCTTGATGTCGTGGTAATGAGTAAGTTCTCACTCTATTAGTTCACGAGAGAGCTGGCTGTTTAAAGGAGCCTGGCAATCCCTTCTCCCGCCTCCTCTCTCACCATGTGGCTGGCTCCCTTCGCCTTCCGCCATGGATGGAAGCGTCCTGAGGCCTCATCAGAAAAAGATGCCAGCGCCATGCTTCATGCACAGCCTGCAGAACTGTGAGCTACATTAACCTCTTTTTTTCATAAATTGCCCAGCCTTGGGCATTCTTTCATTTCAGCATAAAGGGACAAAGACGATGGCACAGAAGATGGAGAGGTGTGAGTTGCACAGAGAACCTTGTGACCTGATCAGCACATGGGTGAGGAAACCAGAAACTACCTGAAACCAAGAAGAACCCCTGGTGCTCACACAGGGCAGGGAAGAGTGCCTGCTCCAGTCTCCAGACTAGAAAAACCTCAAGATTCAGGAGGCACTGGAAAAGCAGTATGATCCAGGTGTGGGATGGCCTCAAGTGGACTAGGATATGTGTGTGATGGGGGAATATGAATGGAGGGAGAGGGAAGAAGAGAAGAAGGGAAGAGGAAGGGAGTAGGGAGAAGGAGAGAGGGAGAGAAGGACGAGGGAGAGGGAGAGGAGAGGGAGACTGAAGAGAGAGAGCAGAAGACAGAAAAAAATATTTGAAGAAGTAACAGCCAAAGTTTTACAGATGTGTTGACTTGCACTTTTAACAAGTTCTCGAGTAATGTTAAGCTATGCCACACCTGGAGAACTGATGGCCTAAACTCTTGCACATAGTTTGGTAATGTCAGGCAGGGAGAGGCTGTGGGCCTTAGCGTCCTCCAGCCCTGAGCTGGACACTGTATGCAACACAGCGTGGCCACTCGGTGGGAGCCAGTGTGTGAACATATTCAGCTGCCTCCAGCCACCATAAAAGTGAGAGACACCCCAGCTTGGCATTAATTTGGGGGCGGGACACAGGTTTGGCAGCCCTGATAGTCCAGGAGTCAGAGTAGGGTAAACATCTATCTGAGCCTTCATATTCCCGGGGCCTCAGTCCCTCAACCCACCTGTCCTGATCAGTTATGCACTCAACCCACACTCACTGCAGCCTCCTACACCAGCAGACACTGTGACCCCTCCACAACTCTCTTCTGCCCCACCCTAGCCCGCTCACAGGCTTTCTTCAGCCCTCTCCTGGTGCCATGGACCTGCCTCCTCCACCCCCCATCCTCACCCTCAGCACCACTATGCCTCCTTGCCAGCCCCCACACCCCTGCCACATGCCTAGGCATTTCCAGGGTGTCCTGCACAGATTCTGGTGGGGCTGAGGCACAGCCCAGAGACCCAGACTCCACCCTCTTGCATCCAGCCATCATGAACTCCCCCAGCTGCTGGACCTCAGGACGCTCCCCCCTATGACAGTGCCATGCCTCAGTTTCCCTGATCCAGTCCTCCTCCTTCATGATGCCAGAACCATCCAGCATCCTCCTCCCACTGCTGCTGGGCTACAGGCCTACACAGGAGTCCTGTCGAAACTCTGCAGTCAAACCTTTAGACACGTCAGGTGGGAGCCTGGAAGGCAGCATAGGGCACACGCAGCCTCCCTAGGCCCACGAGGCCACACATCTGGCCGCCTGGCACCTGGTACATGGTGAGACGGCCCCCTGGCCTGGCCAGTCATGTCTGCTCACCTGTCAAGTAGACTTCTGCCCACCCCACGGGCAAGAACTGTTTCTTGTTCAACAGGACCTCAGCAAGATTGGTGTTTTGGGGACAGGGGACATGACTGTCACTCCACTTCTGCCCTGAGGGAATGCCTCATGCTACATAGGCACAGGGCAGGTCATGAGTTTTCAGCACCAGCTCCCTGCCTGCACACGCCCACCCAAGCCCCTGCTCCCCAAATGCAGCCCAGCTATTTCTGGGCAAGGGAAGGGTATCTGTGCATAAGCAGAAACACAGATGCAGGCGCAAACGTGTGCACATGGAAGTACACGCACACACATGCACACACGACTGGAATGCTTCACCAAGAAGTTGAGTGTGGACCTGTACCTCACACAAATCCACCCACATGCCCATTGTGAAGGGGGGATCCAGCAGAGCCAACCGACCCTTCCCCATGACAGGGACCCATGGCATGCGGGAAGCCACTTGGGCAGTGCTGGATGAACAGTCCCGGGGCTGGCCACCTCACACTGGCCATGAATCCAAAACTCATCTCATCCATTTCCACACCAGCACTGAAATTGGGTGGGGGGCAGTCAGTGCTGGCCACCGTCATGGCCACTGTGGGCTAAGCTAAGGGTTGAGCATGGCCATGTGGGCCATCTAGTACAAGGAAGACTCACCGCTGAGGATCTCATTGTTGTTCCCCCAGAAGTCTGCCAGCTTAGAGGGTCTGCTGTAGAATTCATCCCTGTTGGCTGCCAGGATAAGCCTGCAAGAGAAGAGCAGCATTGTGACTCGGAGGAAACAGAAGGGCCTGCCTTCTCTCTTGTTTCTCTGCCTCAGTAGTAGCACAGCCAAGACTAGAGAAGACAGGAGCCAGTAGTCCTCTGGAGAGCCAGCCAGGACTGTGCTCAGATCCCTGTCCAGGAAACAGGATCAGTGGCAGGAAACAGATCCGCCAGGCCTACCCTACCACACCCCCTGCCCACCCAAATGGGGCCTAGCTAGAGCAGGACTGGGGCTGGGTAGGTGAGTTGCTGGTCCCAGCATACCCAGGGCACCCTGGCTGGAGAGTGGAGTCTGTCCCTCCTTCCCTCTGTCTCCTCTCCTGAGAATGCCCAGAGCTAGCCTGCAGGCTCCTGAAATGTGAGTTTGCAGACACATGTCAAATGGTGCAGAGCTTGGGCCTTTTCTGGGAGAGGGATGCTCCATTCTGTGTTTTGTAGTGCTAAGTTCTGGGGTGGAGGATAGTGAATGGGGACTTCTCTGTGTTTTACTAGTTTTTTGCATTATTAATCAAACAAGTATTTCTTTCTTTCCTTTTTTTTTTTTTTTTGGTTGAGATAGGGTCTTGCTGTGTTGTCCAGGCTGCAATGCCATGGTGCAATCATAGCGTACTGCAATCTCAAAGTCCTGGGCTCAAGTGATCCTCCCATCTCAACCTACCAAATAGCTGGGGCTATAGGTTCCCACCACCACATATGGCTAATATTTTTTGACTTACTGTAGAGATAAAGTCTGGCTATGTTGCCCAGGCTGGTCTCCAGTTCCTAGACTCAAGCAATCCTCCTGTCTTAGCCTCCCAGAGTGGTGGAATTATAGGCTTGAAACATTCAGCCCAAACAAGTATTTCTTTTGCTATTAGGAAAGACATCAACATTTTAAGAGCCCTGGCTTTGAGGCAAGAAAACTGAACTTCAAGTCCCAGATTTGGCCCTAAAAATATGTAAGGGTATAGTGGTAACTGAAAGTGGAGGGGTCTGTTAGGCCCATGAATCTAACAAGTAACAGCTGGAGACCTTAGAGCACTGAGCCATGGGCAGGTCCCACAGTAGCCACAGTGGCTCCTAGGCACAGGGCTTGGGACCCATCACACCAGAAGTCTAAAACCAAGTTGTAGTGAGACCCTGACAAGTGTTTACAAATAAGTTCCATATCGATGACTACTCATTGATTCCATGAAACACTTGCTCATGTGAAACATGAAATAATAAAGACATTGATAAGACAAAGAGTAAGCTGGGTACGGTGGCTCATGCCTGTAATCCCAGCACTTTGGGAGGCAGAGGAGAGAAGATTGCCTGAGCACAGGAGTTCAAGATAGCCTGGACAACTTGGTGAGAACTCATCTCTACAATAAATCAAAAAATTAGGCTGGGCATGGTGGCTCACGCCTATCTCAGCACTTTGGGAGACCAAGGTGAGAGGACTGCCTGAGCCCAGGGGTTTGAGACCAGCCTGAACAACTTGGCAAGATCTCATTTCCATAATAACAATAAAAAAATTAGCCAGGTGTGGTGGTACACGTCTGTAGTTCCTGCTATTTGGAAGGCTGAGGCGGAAGGATCACCTGAGCCCAGCAGGTAGAGGCTGTGGTGGCTATGAGCATGTCACTGCCCTCCAGTCTGGGAGACAGAATGAGACCTCGATTCAAGAAAAAAAAAAAATTAGCCAGATATGGTAGTGCATGCCTGTGGTTCCAGCTACTTGGAAGGCTAAGGCAGAAGGAACACATGAGCCCCTCAGGATGAGACTACAGTGGCCATGAGCATGTCATTGCACTCCAGCCTGGTGACAGAGTGAGACTCCTACTCAAAAAGAAAAAAAAAGAAAGAGAGTAGAACTGACCCTCACTCCTGTCAATCACACCCTTAGGGCATGTCCACCCAACTGCACACACATAACCTGAGCTCCGCAGTGCCTGGACCTCAGAGCCCCTGGGAAATGCTTTCGGATGTTGCCAGAAAATCCTTGGATCTGCAATGGAAGCCTCATCACCTCGGGGTGCCCCATTCAGTCCACCCAACTCCTGTGAGTCCTGGGGGGTGCTGCCTGGGTGTGGGGTGGTGGTCCCTGACTCAGACACTAACCTCTGTCATTCACAGAACACTCTCTGTAACCCTACCCAGCCACAGTCAGAGGCTCTCACCACATCTGCTGTGTCCCTTCTGGGAGGAAGTACCCCCACTGCTGCAGCAGGGACTGGCCCAGGCTGCCCTGGTGGATACTGCTGTGACAGGTGGTATGTCTTTCCTGCACCTGCTCAGGACAGTCCAGACAGAGATAGCCCAGGCAATGGTTAGGAGGAGGGCAAGCACGCAGCCCCCGTGATCTGGTGGGGATGTGCCAGGGGTCTGGCTAAGAGCCCCTTGCCCCATGGGTGGGGTAAAGTTTCATGTGGTCCCGTTCAGCTTCTCTCTCTCTCAAATATGGGCCTTCCTCTGCTTCCACATCCCAGGACCCTGGAGGTAAGTGGTGGGAGCCAGGGTCCTGTCCACCTATCCTACCTAACACCAGGCGGGGCTGCTGGCTTCAGGTATGATTCTTAAGGCATCTTCCAGCAAAGTGAAAATAAAGAGAAAAAAGATATGAGAAGAGCTGACTGAGCCCACTGGCCTAAACTGTGCATCAGTCTGTTATGAATGAGGAGCAGTGATGTGCACCTGCCCAATGATTCAGGAACACTTACTGCTTGCTGGGTTGTTTCACCCAGGAGTTGCTGTGGGGCTGCAGGCCTCATGAGGTACACCATCCAGGGACAAGTGGGATGAGGCCCCATTAAGCCTGGGGGAGAGGACAGAGTCCGTTTGCACTCAGCAGCCAGAGAGCCCAGAGTTACACCCACCATGGCAAGGGGCTCTGAGGATGGCGTCACCCCAGTTTTTTTTCGTTCCAATAATTGAAATCACCAATGACCTATCCCACCCGGATTTCCCCATGCTGAAGAGCATGGGCACTCTGAGTCTGTGCAATGTCAGGAAGCCCCTCACAGAGTGTACACCTTCAGGGGTGAGTCTGCATACAGTCTGGGGGAGTGGGTATTTGCAGAGTCTGGAGGTGAGTCTGGGCACCGTGTGTCTACCATTGATGGGGTGTGAGTCTATGCACTGTGGGGGCAGGTTAGTATGTACACTGTGTGTGTTGGGGTGACTCTGAACTGCCTTGGGGGTGGTGTGGCAGCAGGTGTGGCAGATCCTCTGGTCCATGATTAGATCCTCAGTGATGACCCCACGGAAGCTGCCTTAAAGGGTAACAACAGCTGGTCCAGATGCCACTCCAGGATGCAGCTAGCAAGGAGTTAGCATGGGAGGGTAAATAGACATTTTATTAAAAGATAGGCTTCCGGGACAACATGACTATGTTATCTTGCTGGGGGTCTTGGTTTTCTTTGTGGGTATCAAATTGCCAAACACGGTGGTCTAAAACAACTCCATTTATTATCCCAGTTTGCAGGTCAGGAGTCATCCCCACTTGGCTGGGTCCCCTGCTCAGGGAATCCCAAGGTGTACTTAGGTGCTGGGGGCTCTACAGAAGCGCCTGTGCCCCAGCTTTCCATTCTCCCTGCCAGACACCCAGACCACAGTGGAAGCAGCCACCAGAAGTGCCCTGCACCCTCCCACGCAGCTGGGAAAACAGCACACTCAACCAGTCACCCAGAAGCAGTGTGTTTGGTCCTTGGCCCAGGGTTGTGGAAGACATTAGGGAGAAATACAGAGGTCACCTGGAACAGCAGGACCCACAAGCACAGGACCCTGCAGTGATGTATGGGTTCTGAGTAAAAGCAAGAGAGACATGTACTACACTCTCTACCTCCCCCTCCACCACTCCAAGCCCAGGTGGCCTGGCCAACACCCTGTGGTCAAGCTTTCTACCTGGACACCCAAGGATCCAGTACAGGAAGGGTCCCGTGGGGCAGCTTGTAGGAGGCCACACTGAGAAGACCTGGAACTGGCCACTCAGCCCAGCATATTGATTGCCCAGGATCGCCATCACTAAGTATCATGGCCTGGGTGCCTCCAACAACAGACACTTATCGTCTTGCAGTTGTGGAGGCTGGAAGTTCAAGTCAAGGTGTCAGGGGGCTGGTTCCTCTGAGGGTCTCCTGGGTCTGTAGGTGGCTGCTCCTATCTCTGTGCGTGTACTGGCTTCCCCACGTGTGTCTGCGCCCTAATCTCCTCTTCTTATAAGGACACGTGTCAAATAGATTAGGGCCTACCCACATAACCCCATTTTACCATAATCACTTCTTTAAAGCTCTGTCTCCAAACACTGTGACACTCTGAGGTACTGGCAGTTAGGGCATCAACATGCACATTTAAGGGGGACATGGCTTCCCCTGTGACTGTATGCCAGGGTCTGTGCACTCACTGGTTCCATCTCATGGAAATGAACTCAAAGAAGTTGTCCCCTTACTTCCCTGAGTGCCAACTGTGACAACCACAAGGTAAACCCCAGGACAAAGCCTAACTTACAATTGGATTTCCAACTCAGGTAACTCCTGCCTGTTTTTCAATTCTCCTCCCATTGCCAAGGAAGTGGCTGGAGAGAAACAGTAAGTAAGGAGTGATCCTGGGGTTCCAGGCTGCCCTTGGGTCAGAGTGACCTGAAGGCTGGGGTTGAAGCAGAGCCTCCCAGCAGTGACCAGTGGGCAGAGCTTGTTGGGCAGGTGGTTGCCAAGCTGGAGAGTGACAGCAACCAAAGCCAGCCTCAGGCCAGCCCCAGTGTGGAACCATGGCAGCTAGGGTCCAGCTACGGAAGAAAGAAGGAGAGACCAGCTGCAGCCAATCCCAGAAAACAGGATGCAAATGGCTGGGCTTGGCTTCGCTTGGTTCCTCTGTGCTTCCTGTCTGTGTGTTGCATGTGTGCGTCACCACTGTCTTCTGCCCCCTCCTTCCCATCTCTACTGTTACATGCAGGGGCCAGGGGAGCTCTGGGGAATAGAATCTCCGGCAGGGCTGTGGCTGACTCCAGGATGTGTCGTATTTGAGAATGTCTCTGCTTATTGGGTAGAGAGAGAGTTACTTAGCAGGTGCACGGGCATCCAAGTGAGGCTGAGGGCCATGCTAGTCATCAGTGCACTGCTGCTCAGCACCAGATCCACCCTGCACTGTGATCCTGCAGTTGAACTTTGAGGCTGGGAGCAGATGACATCTTGTCAGCAGGGGGCGCCAAAGAGAAGCTGGAGGACTGTTCTTTCCACTTCCCCAGGCTCTTGCAGGGCACACCAGCAGGCAGCACCTAGCAGCCGGCACCGTCCCCTGGCAGCTATCCTGTTCTAGCTGCCAGCACCCTGGAAGGCAGATTTCCAGCAAATTCTGCCAGCGTGGCACCCCAGGGACTTCACAGCCATCTAGTGGGCTGCAGCCACATCCTCTCCCTCAAGGTTAGCTCTTGGCCTGGGGCATTGGAGGCTGGGGACAGTGGGGACAGTGGCTGCTATTCCCATAGTCCTGAGTTCTGGTCACTTCCTCCTAGCTAGCCCCTCACCCCCCAGCCCCTATGAGAGTCAGTAGTTTTTCTCTGCCTGCATTTTCCCTGCAGGAGGTTGGCTGCTGGCTGGAGACTGGCCTGGCCCTGACTCCTACTCCTCTGCAGAAAAGGCAAACACTGTCCAATCTCCATTCCCTGAAATTAGTTAATTCAGCCTCAGTCCAGCAATGCAGTGTCTATGCAATTTTGCTTGGTGACTCAAATGTGAGAACCTCATGGAAATGGGTCAAATAATTTCTGCTGCAGATTTTCTATTTGTTTGTTTTTGTTTTTTAAGTCAGAGTCTCACTCTGTCACCCAGGCTGGAGTATAGAGGCATGCTCATGGCTACTGCATTCTTGACCTGCTGGGCTCAGGCAACCCTTCTGTCTCCACCTTCAGAGTAGCTAGAACCACAGGCACGTGCCACCATGCTTGGCTGATTTTATTTTATTTATTATAGAGATGAGGTCTTGCCAAGTTGCCCAGGCTGGTCTTGAACCCCTGAGCTCAGGCAATCCTCTCACCTCCACTTCTGCAGATTTTTTAAATGAAAACTCCCCAGGCAATTGCACTAGAGAGTGGTTTCAAATATCAATTTTGGAGTGTGATTTACATCTCTGCCTTATTCTCTGTGTGGATAAAGGCTGGGGTGCCTCCCCCAAGCAGAAGGGTGGCCATCCAGAGCCCAGAGTTGGGAGGGGTGAATCCCAGTTTGCCCTTCCTGTCATCAGTCTCCTGCCTCCTCTGGCTAGTCCCCAGTGTCTCCTTCTCCCCAGACCTCCCTCCTCAGTGCAGGACCTCTAGACCCTCGGACCTGCCACCACCACTCTGACTTCTAACTGGCACTGGGGACCAGGCAGCCCAAGTTAGGTTCTCACTCCCTAACATCGTTGTCCTGATTCTGTCACCCCAACCCCCCTCAGAGCCCACAGAATCATACCCCTACCCAGATCCATGTTGTTCCTCTTTCCTGCCCACACAGCCACCTTCTGTGGCTGACTTCTCATGTCTCTGTATGCCAGCTCAGAGCTCCTGCCCTGAGAGGCATTCCACCAGCACCCATTGCACCCATCTGGAGTGACCCTGGCCCAGAGCAGGGCCAGGCCTGTATAACCTATGCCATCTGAGGGCCTGACCTACATACCTCCTGCATACAGTGCGAACTGGTCAGGCACCCAGGACCCCGTGAGGTGTGGCAGATGCAGAGTGAGGGGTTACCTGTAGGCATTTTTGGAAACAGGACGAGGATCAAACTTGAAAAAGATGATGCACATGGGTGCCAAGGGTGGTCTTGCTTGCACAGTCACGAGGTCTGTGGAAGAAGAAGGACCATGAGTTGAGCAGATAGTAGAAGACAAGACTGACGCTCTGAACCCACAGCAGCCGGGAACAGAACCACTGCTGCAGGCTTGTGACACTTGCTGGACATGGGGGACTGCATGCAGGACACTGTGCCAGTGGCCAGTGCCACAGAAACCCACATACTCTGCTACCCACAAGCTTGCTGGCCTTGGAGAGAACCACCTCCCAAATCCACAACCCTAGCGCCACACAGAACTACCTCACCAGTGCTGCCATTCTCACAGGTCTGGACACGTGGTGTGCAGGTGGCCAGTGAGCACTGGAGGGGGCAGCAGCAGAAATATCAGGTGCCACAAGTGTGGTGGGAGCCAGCAGGCAGCAGACCTTCCCTTGCACTCACATCCCCTCCCCTGCCACAGCACCACCCCACCCCTACAGGGCCACTGAGGGAGGCAGACCCCATCTCCGCCCCCACTCCAAAGGCAGGGAAGCAAGCCCCACTCACCTGGGATGTAGGCCCAGCCTAGCACACACCCCACAAGATCCAAGGAACCTACCCAGTGCATAGGCCCACCACCCCATGGGACCTGAGGCCCCCCTCAGCACATACTGCTACCCCACAGAACCCGAGGGCTCCACCCAGTACACAGGTCACGACCCCATGGCCCCTGAGAGCCCCACCCAGCACACAGACCCACCACCCAATAGGACCTGAGGCCCCATCCAGCACACATACTGTCATCCCATGGGACTGAGGTCCCTGTACCCTAGGGCAGTGGCAGTGACACCTGCTGGGGACACAGATACAAACCCAGGCATAGGTGAATGCGGACTTAACTCATGTCCCTTCCTCTCCCGGAGCCTCTGGGGCCCAGCAGGCATTTCCCCACAACTAAGAAGAGAACTGAGACCTGAAGGCCATCTCAGGACAGGGTGACTCTGCATTTCCTTAAAATGTACACGTGTGTGATGATTTAGTGGCACAGCTCTGGGGCAGTCCTGTGGCTGGGACACAGAACAGCCAAGACACTGTTTAAACACTGAACGGACCCAAAAAGATTCCCAGAAGAAAAGTCTGATGATGGGGTGGGGAGTGAGGGAGGCTCAGGGTGTTGTGTGGAGGGCTCTGAAGAGGGGCGTGCGTGTAGGAACACACCTGCTGTATGTGGCTGTGTGCACATGTGTATGTGCGCATATAGCTCTGTGTGCATGAACATGTGTGTGTCAACAGGAGGCTGATGAGCTCCAAGTGTGCCAGCATGAGGCACCTTAGGAGCAGGGAAGGCTATGCCTGGTCTTGGGGAGTCCCAGGAGTCCGGAGGGTCTATGTGGAGACCCTGGCCCCAGACACTAAGCTTGTGGTCCCACTAGAGCAGCCTGGGCTTTCCCCCAGAAAGCTGCACACCTGTCAAGTGGGCCTGTGAGTCAGGCCCTCGCTGGGATTAGGAGGTCATGGCAAGATGCCCAGACCCAGGTCATACCGCCTCACATCCCAAATGGGCCGTGGCCACTCCTGCCCTTCCACCCCAGGCCTTGGCGCCCCAGGAAACTCCCGGGTTTAAGCAGCAGGCACAGGTGGAGCAAACTTAGGCTCACTGCCCTAGGTCAGGGACCCCCACAGCCACTGTGACTCTGGGAGAGGCCCTGGCCCTGTCCTGGGGACAATAAGAGCTCCCCTCTGACATTGGCACCATCACTCTCGATTCCTAGGTCTCTGAACAAAACCTATCTGGGTTCTGTGACTCAGCACTCAAATAGGATGTTTCCACCATATCAGCCATATATTCAAACTGGTGCCAGCACCATGTGGGTAGGGGTGGCTCAGGCCACAGCCTGCAGCCAGCATCATAGACACAATGTGGGCTCAGAGTCATAACGTCCCCACTGGTCCTAGGAATGAGGTACTGGCACTGAGGATTCACTCCATCTTCCATGAACACTGTCTGCTGTCTGCCGCAGGCTCCCACAGGCCACACTCTGGGGCCACTGTGGGACCCAGGACTGCACAGCCATGGAGGCTCCCAGGACCCAGTCTCAGCCCAGGGCACTATACTTGTGTGCCTCTACCCACCTGCCCACCACTCCTCCTGGTTCCCACAGGCACAGGCAGCAATGATGGCTGCTGAGATCAACCCTTTGCCCCAGCGAGGAGCCCGTGGCTGTGAGGGTGAGGTGTCACCAAGCAGTGGGTGCCATCTGCTGACATGCAGGGTGCTGGGGAGTGTGCCACCATTTGAGATGGGTCACTCTTTGCAAATGGTGAGCTAAAGGGCATCCCCAATGTTGGGGACTCTGCAAAAGGGCCCAGAAGCTGGGAACAGTCAGGGTGACCTGGCAGTGTCATCTGGGGCCACCATTCCAAGGGGTGGACAGGCTACTGGGGCCAACTCTCTCTTGGTTAAAATAACATGCTTGAAAGAATATGAAAATATCTTAAAAGCAGTCAAGGACTTACAAGATCATCCAGGATTTGGCCAATACCACAGAGAACACAGGTCCAAAGACAGCAGAGTGTAGTGTCATTCCTGCCCTGAAGCACTTGGCCATCTGGGCACACTGGGGCTTGGACTCTGGTGGCCTCAAGGGTAAGGGAGACAGAAAACAAAGCACAGGGCTTCCCAGAGGAGGGAGAACCTAATAGGAGACTCTCCCTGGGACTGGGAACACTGCACAAAAATGGGGGAAAAGTTCCTGAGAAGCTGTGGCACAGTCAGGTCTACAGGGGGCCAGGGATCCTCAAACCAAGTATGAGCATAAGGAGCCAGCCCCCCAAAAGAGGTTTACAGGGTCCCTGGAAGGTGGGGCAGCGTCGGTGAATATTCTGGAGAAATA